AGATGATTCTCACGATGCCCCAAAGGATCAACGAACTCCACGAAGCAAAAGGAAGATCTACTAGATATTAATTAAATTATAAATATATCAGTTATTGTGAATATGATTGAAAAAAATCTTTTTTCCTGAAAAGGTGATGTCTATTTACTTGTGACCACGCTGTGTACATGTATGTTGCCATAACGATTAACTATCAAAAAGTTAGAACGCCAATGTTGGTAGATCGATGAATAGGGCATTATTACTTCTAGTACTGAATAAAAATAGCATTTCCGATATGTTTTTTACCGCCATAAGTCCAGCCCCGAATTCTGGCATTATACGAAAGGAAGTGACTTATAGCCGACAAAAGATAAACTTTAAAAACTGTTGCTACTCTAATTCGTAACGAAGTAACTGAAACACATGTTAAAAGAAAATATGCAGTCAACTATCATATTAATAACTTTCGTAAGATATCGTAATATATATATCGTATATATATATATACGTATTAAATCAAGAGCGCTTAACGATACTGTTAAAGTCTCGTGTCATAGTGTGAGATGTCTCTTATCAGATGTTTCTTCAAAAACATTATTGTCGAAGCAAATTTTTACTTACCTGAGGAAAAAAAAACTATCCACTTGTACAAAGGAATTCCATACAACCATGAAAGTGACATCCTTTACAGCATACTGCAAATTTATAAGTCCATCTGTAATAGCGACAGTTAACATTGTACTGGTCAGAAATATTTTCACATATAGTCAGACTGACTAATGCGAGCTAGACTTATTTTTTTACAAGGTATACGTCTGAGGCTCTTTGGTGAAATCTAAAGTAATAGCAAAGTTGTGCTATGTCATAACTGTGTATTGATTCTATACCCAGAGATTACGTGGTTTTAAAAGGTGATTTTAGTTCAATAATTTAACGATTATTAGATATTTGTAGTAGAAGGAAGTAATCGGATAATTAATGTTCTCAAGTATTCATTTGGAATTATGTAATACAACGTTGAAGGGTTATTTCATCATAATTATAATAAATGAATACACACTGAATTATAATAGTATGGCGTTTCCCCAACTTTACAGACCCAAGGACCGGGTTTTTTTCATTCTAATTTTCTGTGGACCATCTTGTATACATAGATAATGTATGCACACAGAAAGTCCACACGGTAAATTACGATTTTACTGCATTAAATATGCATATGTATGATACCATGAAAATAAATGGAAGAAATTAAATTTCACTGTTTATTCAATCTTACAACATTAGTTGGGCCCGGCATGGCTAGGTGGTTAGGGCACTCGACTCGCAATCTGAGGGTCGCGGGTTC